AAATGATCAAATGTAATGAAACTGAAACAGTGATAGATTCAGAGAACAAACAGGTGGCTGACAGAGGTGACAGGTGAGGGAGATTAAGAGGTACAAACTTCAGCTGCAAAATAAATGAGTCACAGGTATGAAATGTACAGTGTGGGGAATATAGTCAATAATTAATGTCTTTGTACGGTGACAGGTTGTAACTAGACTTACCATGGCAATCATTTTGAAAGGTACAAAAATATCGAATCACTGTATTATATAACAGGAAATAACAGTGTTGTAGGTCAATTACACTTCAAAAACAAAGAAGCAAACCAACTTATAATAAAAAGACACCAGATTGCGGTCACCAGAGGTGAGGATGGGGGAAGGAGGAACTGGATGAAAGCAGTCAAAGGGTGCAAGCTGCCAGCTGTAAGGTAAGTAACGCTAGGGATGTAATGCGCAACACGATAAATGTAATTCGCACCACTGCATGTTATGTATGAAAGCTGTTAGAAGAGTAAATCCTAAGAGTTCTCATCACAAGGAAAACAATTTTTTTTCCATTTCTTTAAATTTGTATCTACAAAGATGATGGATGTCACTGAACTTACTGTGGTAATCGTTTCATGACGTATGTAAGTCAAATCATTATGCTGTATGCCTTACACAGTGCTGTGTGTAGATTATATCTCAATGAAACCGGAAAAAAAAATTTTAGTGAAAACATCACTCTGGCTAGGGGTTAGGAATAGACTTCAAGGGGTCAGCGGATTCAGAGACACCAAAGGGCCAGCTGTCGTAGAGATACAGACGAGAGGTGTGTGGTGTTGACCAGGATGCTCAGAGTGGAGGCAATGGAAAGAGGTTACAGTCTGGATCAGACTGAATGTAGAATCATGCAATTCCCTGCCAACCGGATAGAAGCTGTGTAAGAAAGAGGAGTCAAGGATACCTGAGGTTGTCTGCCCAGCCGAATGGAAAGATGGAGAAAGACTGTGGGCAGAGCAGGAAGGTCAACAGCTGTGTTTCAGACACACTCAATTTGCCTGCCTATCAGTCACCTAGATGGAGACCACATTAGAGAGCTGAGTTCAGGAACGGATTCTGAGCTGGGGATATAAATGTGGGCATCGATGGTCCTTGGTCCAACAACCCTGGAGGAACTGAATCCTGCCAAGAACCACGGAGTAGGCTTGGAAGCCACTCTTCCCTGGTCCAGCCTTTGGATGAGACCCCAGCTGCAGCCCTGACTGCAGCCTGTGAGATTCCCCTAGGAGAGAACTCAGCTGAGCTGTGCCTGGATTTCTGACCCACGGAAACTGGGACAGAAGAAGTATGTGTTGTTTGTTTTAAGCTGCTAGCTTGGCAGGTTGTTATGCAGAGAGTATGCAACTGGGTGAGATCACCAAGAGACTGCACATAGGCAGAGAAGAGGACCACAGATTGCATCCAGGGCTCTGGTGTCTGGACATGAGGGCATGAGAAGTAATCAGCAAAGGAAACTGAGAAGAAGCCACCACTGAGGAGGTAGGACAAGCAAGACAGTCAAGCGAGGGTTTCAAGGAGGAGGGGAGCCCAGTCTGCCAACGCTGCTGCTGAGGGCTCAGCACAGGTGAGATGAGGCCAGGGGAGGGCAAGCTGCCTGGAGTGGGCTCCAGAGAGCGCGGGAGGAGTGTGAGGAGGGGAGCCAGGCTTCAAAACCTGCTGGATGGACTCTAGCGTTGGCGTTCTGCACCTTCATGCCACAGGCTGCATCACTTGCTGCACTCCTTGCTACAAATGCAGACTTTTGTGTGGTGGTGCGTGAGTTTCCTATTGTTATTGTAACACATGACCACAAACTAAGTAGCTGAAAACAATGCAAACGTATTATCTTAGAGTTCCGGAGGTCAGAAGTCCAAAATGGTGCTCAAGGCGGGTAAAATCCAGGTCTCAGTGGGTCTACATTCCCGTGGAAGCTCCAGGGCAAAATCCCTCTCCTTGCCTTTCCAGCTTCGAGAGGCCACCTGCATTCCTTGGCTTGTGGCCCTTTCTTCCATCTTCAGATCCAGCGATGTCTGGCTGAGTCTTTCTCACATCACATCATTCTGACACCACTTCTCCTGCATCCCCTGTAATGACCCTGGGCCCACCTGCATCATCAGGACAATCTAGCCATCTCAAGACTCTTAACTTACTTCACATCTGCAAAGTCCCTTCTGCCACGTAAGGTAACATATTCACAGCTTCTGGGAATGAGGATGCGGATGTCTTTGAGGGGACACTGAGCATCCTTCTGCCTAACTCAGCAGACTGGGGAGAAGCCCAGAAACCTGCGTTAGAACTGATCACACTTTGAGAATCAGCATTCTACAACTTATTCTAATTGTGTGACTGATAAATTTCACAAAATTTAACAACTTTCCTGAGTAACAGGATATGAAATCATCAAGGCCTTTTGGATAGAAAATACATGGAAAATGCAATTCATTGACTGTGTGTTTGATTTTCTGTGAACAGTTTTGTTGGTGCTTTTCTTCTCATGACTAAATATTCCTCTGGCCCACAGAAAGTTCATCTCTCATTTGTACTATCAATGAGAAAATATGGAAAGTAAGAGAGAATATGGATCTCTAAATATCTTGTGGTAATTTAAGGCAATTAAACAATCAATCAGTAAATTAATTATGACATACACACTCTGAGAAAACAGTCTTGGGTCATACTTATTTAATCAGTTGATGAGGTCATTAACTTCCCTGCTTGCTTCTTGCATGCAGAACTCCCCTGGAACACTTCTGCACCAGCAAAGGAAAATTAACCCACATGCATACACTCATAAAGTAAATAAGTGAATAAAAAACCTAGAAGTTATGAATTGTCTGATATCCGCTTAAAATAAGACTCATAACTAGAGGGTTTTAGATGAATCATGGGTGTTTGCCTAATAATTTATCAGAAATGAAACCCTGGAGTTTTTCAATGTCAATATCATTAAGCGATTAAACAGATACTGTGCAATCGGTCTTAACCTGCATTATCCCACAGCCCCCGTTGGGTATTTTAATCTCTATTTTTCACATGAAAGCTGAGGTTCTGAGAAATTTAGCAAGTTGTGCAAAATCAAAGTTGTGGGTCAGTGGACTGGCTAAAGTCACCCAGTCCTTTAATGGAGTTGCTCTGGTTCAAACCCAGGTGATCAGTTTTGAAGGCTAGAAGCCCGTCTGCAAACCACAGCTGTCTCTAAAAGACCTCACCCCGTTTGGGGAGCTAATATCAGACTTACTTGGTGAATCTTCCAAATCACCAAGGCCCAGGTTCCGCCTCTGTTCCCAGAAACTAAATTGTATGGTCTGGGGCCCAGGATTGGTATGAATCACCTTCATTTACATCCCTGGGTAGAATACAGGGTCAAGGTAATCCTGCAATAATTTCCAAATCTGCACCATTGTTGCTGGAAAGGCAGCCAAGTTTTTCTGAGCATTTGCTGTAACCCAGTTACTGGGCTTTGAGTGAGGAAGTGAAAATAAGAGAAGCAGGGCTGTTGTCCTCCAGAACGTACAGCCAAACGCAGGGGACCACGGGCTACCGATGACAGAGCAACACGATGCCTCCAACGGAGGACTGGAATTAACTAGAAGGAGGTCTAACAAATCAGACAGGCAGGAAACTAGGCCCTGCGCCTGCCCCGCAGCTGGGAATAGCCCAGTGTTTGCACGAGGCTTTCCTTTATTTATTGGTACTTTGGACAGCTCCCATCAGTTCTGTTCCATGCATCCGTTGTGTATCTTTTGCAACTAATTGAACACTCAGCGTAAAGAGACAGGGTGTTTCTTATAACAAGCACCCAGGGCTGGGCAGTCCAGGGCTGGGACAGTCTGCCTCTCTGCACCCCCGCCCCGGGCACATCAGCCTCTGTTCTGCATCCTGTTCTGCCTGTAAGTCAAAGGAAGGCGGGTGCACCTCCCGGCCTCCTGTACGTGCTCTAGGCAGGAAGAACGGGAATGCTGGTGAAGAGGATTTCTCCTAGCAGCACCCGGCCCTTGTAACAGGGGAGAGAAGCCCTCTGCAGGTACCACACCTTGTCTCACAGCCAGAACTGCATCACTCAAACACCGACAGATACCAGGATACTGACCACGTCACTTCCAAAGCCTCTAGCGTGCAGGAAAGCAAGAGAGATGGGAAATGTGGGCACTTCTGTGTGTCACATTTGCAATTTTGACAGGTTTCAGGATTTTAAGAATAAAACTGACGTGCATTAGTTTCCTGTAATACATTGCCGCAAACTGTGACTTAACACACATTTATTATCTTACATGTAAGTTCTGGAGGTCGGACGTCTGAAGTGAAATGGAACAGGCTGTGCTCCTTCTGGAGGCTCTGGGGGGGATCCATTCCTTGCCTATTCCAGCTTCTCAAGGCTGTCTGCGATCCTGGGCTAATGTCCGCATCACTCCAGCCTCGGCTTAGGCCATCACACCTCCTTTTCTGACTCTGACCCTCCTCCTTCCCTCTTAAAAGGACCTTTGTGATTACAGTGGGCTTATTCACATAATCCAGAACACTCTCCGCATCTCCAGATCCTTAATGTAATGGCACCTGCAAGGCCCCTCTTGCCCTGGTAGGTAACATATTCACAGGTTCCGGGGACTAGGATGGGGGCATCATTCTTTTGGAAGCATTATTCTACCTACCACGTATGTACATGGTTTTAATAACGGAATAGACTTTCACTGAAAAACAGGAGTCCTGTGTGTGCAGCTCCTCCCCGAGTCCACTCCCCTGAGAAACACCTTCTGTCATTTATTTCTGTTGTTCTCAAGCACAGACTCTGCTGCCTTTGTTGGATCAGCTGAAGGCATTATCTACTGACTTCCTATCCCACCAGCCTTGGTGGGCGGTTGTGAAAAGTTGGCTACCAGAATCTTGGCAAAGCCCCTAGCACAGGCACTAGGGGATGCTCAGAGAGGAAACCTCTCATTATTCTTCCTAATTTAAAAAAAAAATGCAGACTCAAGACCCAGGTTTACAAAATGCCGCACCTGCTTCTCTTGCTCCAGGAGGTCCTGGAAGAGTTTCCACTGCTGATTCCGGAAGCGATCCGACTTCCCCAGCTGCCGGGCGGCGTTCTCCTGGGCCTCCTGCCTCAGGTATTCACACTCCGCCTGGGAGAGGTTGGTCACATGGGGGAGCGTCTGAAGGAACAGGGCGTCCATGAACTTCTGGAACGTTTCCATGGTGCTGCGGTACAGCTCCTGAAGGATGGAGTTATAAGTCACGTCCTCACCCGGGGCAGGGCCGTGGGCTTCCAGCAAGACACAGAGGAAATCCAGGGAAGGAAATTCTCAAATCACACACACACGCACACACGCACGTGCGCGCGTGCACACACACACACGGAGTTGCTGTCTTTCAGCCCTCTAACCCCCACCCAGTCAAGCCCCAGCCCCAGATCTGCCCTCCTGCCCCAATGAGCCCTCCATCACTGGAGTCTCCTCTAAACCTCCATCCAGGTTATTTTCACAACCCCTCACTGGTTCCTCCGCCTCCCTCTGCCCCCTCCACTTAGGCGAGTCATCTGCACAAGGACAGAGCTTTGGATTCCAGCTCAGCAACTTGGAAGGTCTCTCTTTCCATCACAGTCAGAGTGCCTCCCAGGGTTTCCAGGTGGTCCTGCCTCACTTCTCTCCATTCTTTTCCCTTCAGCCCATCTCTCCCACTCCATTCTCTTTATAAAACTGTATCTTTTTAAATCATGAAAACCAAAAACCCGTATAACAACTCTGAATCCACCACTCAGTTTTCCATTTCTTTTTCAGATTAAAACAGTAAACCTTATAAGTTAAGTTGGAATCCTTTGTTTTCCCTCTGCAAATCTTTTCTCTTCCCTCAGAGCCTCCTCAGAGACAGCCATCTCCATGAATTCATCATCTCTGTTTCCAATTTGGATTTCTATACTTTCACCGTATTTTTTGTCCATAAATGTGGTTTTTCGTGTTTGTGTTAATTCACATAAATGGCATCTCACTGCACATTTCATTATAGAGATGCTTTTTCAAGCCTCTCCCTGGCCCCACCTCCAGGCACCTTCACACCTTAAATGGACTCCTCTTCACCCTGCAAAACCCCTGCAAAATAATCCCTTCTCTGTGAAGTCCTGCCAGGGCTGCTCAGACTAACATGGGCATTTCTGACCAAGGCTTCCACAGCTTTTTGGTTCACCCCACCAGGGCATCAAAACTACAATTTATCTGTCATCCCTTCTGGACCACAACTAACCCAGAGCAGAAGCTGCATCATACTCAGATCTGCACCCATGTCTCCTCCTAGACCAAGCACCTGGCGGCAGTTTCTGAAAGCATCATGCACCAACATGATACAGAATGCCCACTCCCCCTTCTCCATCAAGGAACTCCCCATACATGTTACAAACTCAATTTGAGGTCTCCCCTTCTGGGAAGGCCTCCTGACCACATATATTTTTGTGGTCACTGGCTGTCTGATTGTCCTTTTCATGGACTAGACCATGAGGTTTCTTAAAAACAAAGTCTTATTACATTAGCATCTGTAGGGCCTAGAAAAGCACCTGGCAAATATCAGGTAATAACATTATAATTGTTAATAATTACAAATCCTTACTGTGCGTCAGGGAGTGTGATAAGCACTTTTCTTGTATAATCTCATTCATCCTTCTAATAGTCCAATGAAGATGTTCTATTATAATTATCATTGTTCTACAGATGAAGAAGCTAAGACCCAGAGAAGATCAGTAACTGGACACTTGTAGAGGGTGGGTACTGGCTGTTAGACTATATTGGACTCTTGCTCTTAACCTGTATGCTCCAAGGATAACAGTTTTCTTGGAGGAAAAAAATTCTCAGCCTTTAGCTTGGCATACCTAGGTCAGAGCTGGTGTGCTCAATGGATGTAAGTTAAACTCAAATCAATGTTAATTAAACCCAGTGGATGCCAGGCTTTAAAAAGCTCACGGCCAAGCTGAAGTTTTCTCAGGGTAAAGTGATCATGATGGGGCACAAGGACACACCCCCTTTTAAAGGGTTTAGAGATCCCACTTTTGATAGTGGCCAACCAGGTAATTTGAACCCATTCTTCCCACTGAGGATGAATATTTTTTTTCTTAAAGCTAGAAAAAATGTTTATTAAATCATCACAAAAGTCCCAAAGAGCTAACAAGGTAGTGTAATAGGGAAGAACAAATCTGACTCCATTATTAGATCTGTTCCTTTGGCTCTAACCCCGTGCTCTGTTTCCTGGGCTCAGTCAAGCTGATTTGGTAGCTTTGGTAGAAGAATCTTGCCTAGAGCTTGAAATATACAGGCAAGCCCATTCTCAAGGCTCTGACCTTTAAGGGTATTAACACTTTCCTATTCATATAAAGATAAAAAGTTGCAGAATAGAAAATAACATTTGCCTTGTTAGAGGTTTATAGGGACACTATGACCTGACCCACGTGGACGGCTGCAAGAACCAAGGATTCTGACACCAAGAAGTTTGCACCAACCAACCACATCCCCTCCCTTTTTTAGAATAAAAGGAGCCTGAATTCTGACTTGGGGAAGACTGTTCTCCAGGACATTAGTCCCCCACCTTCCCAGTCTGCCGGTCTTTCTGAATAGTGTCGCATTCCTTGCCCCAACACCTTGCCTCCTGATTTACTGGCCTGTTGGGCGGCAAGCAGAATGAGTCTGGACTTGGTAACAGTAGTGCAGAGTGCAGGGGCCAAGGTCTCAGAGAAGACACAAAGACAGAAATGAGTCCAGCCCTTGGGCTGCGTGAAGGGGTGGGGGTGGGGACAATCCAGAGGACAGCCGCACAGCCAAGTGGACTTCTGACCGCCTCCAGCAGCTGAAGGGACAGAAGGTGGAGCTCATGGCTCCCCGTGGGTTGGGGAGCCCACGGCTGGAGCTCAAAAAGCTGCAGCAGAGAAACATGAGTAAAATGGAAGAAAACTAGTTCAGACTGGTTTAAATGGACTGCAACTTGGAGTCTGTTCATGTGGGAGATCCATGATATTTCAAGTCCTGACCTTGAATTAAGGTGACTCTGGATCATGAGAGACCCAGTCATCTAGCAGAAGCAAAGGAAAATTCTCTTTGGAGGAAGAGAACATAATTCTACATCTGAAAATGATTTTACAAAGGAAAATACAAATGTGAGATAAGGCATACAATAAGAAATAGACAGGTACATGAGGAGACAAGAACACAAACAACAGGCGTGAAAAACATGCCCACCGGTGGTCCAGAGAGTGCAGTTACAAGACATGGACTTTGAAGTATTGATGCTTACTGTGCTCAAGAAGTTAAAAGCCACTCTTAACCCTTAACGCAAAAAGCTGGTAATTATAAAAAAAGTAACACTACTTAGTTAAAAAAATAATTAGAACTTCTGGAATTGAAGGACATTGTCCAATAATAAGAACCTAATGTAGTTTCATTGCAGTTTAGAGATGCAGCTGAAGAGAGAATTATTGCTGGGAGATAGATCAGGAGAAAATCCAGAACAAAGTCAGGAGACACTGAAGGATGGAAAATATGGAGAAGATAAAGCTAAGATACAGTGAGCAAGTTCGACAAGTTTAACTGGATTCCCAGGAGGAAAGAAGGCAGAGTCCAGGCAGAGTAATATTGGAAGTGATAAGACAGAAATTTATCAAAACTGATGAAAGAAATATAGAGATAAGGAAAGTGAGGCTGCACCTGGACGTGGAGAAGAGAGGTAAGTCAGCTCACACACGGGGCCCTGGCGGTCAGGCTCCGGATCTCATGATGTCACCAGGATGCTCTCTGGTAATTTTTTTTTAAACAAAGAACAAATGAATGAGAGTATAACCAGGCCCTAATAAACGCAAGCTCATTCTGTGTTACATTAATAGCAGATAGAAGTCTCTAATGAAGAAAGCACTTTTAGGTATTAAGGGAATCAGTTCATGGTACCAAAAGGTTTAATTCACCAGAAAGATGCAAAGGTTCTCAACTGTAGGCACCTCATGGCATTACCCAAACTGATGCAATCTGTTACATCAATAGAACAAAGCAGAAAAATATCTGATGATTTTGTGAATAAATGAAGAAAAAAGTCTTTTACAAAATTTAATTGCCATGCATAAGACACACTCCTGGCCAAACAGGAATGGAAGGAAACTTCCTTAATCTGAAAAAACAAACAAACAAACAAAAACCCAAAAAACTATAGCAAACATTATACCTAAGGGCGGAAACTATGAAACAATAGTAAGAAAAATTAGTAAGACCTAAGTAAATGTAGAGATATACCATGTTTCTGGATTGGAAGATTTGATATTGTAAAGGTGTCCATCCTTATAAATTTAAAATACTAACCAAATTGGTGTTTACAGTAACAGTGATGGAGGATACGGACTGAAGGTATACATACCCTTTAACCCAGCAATTCTGCCCCTTGGTATGTGCCCGAGAGGGACACGTATGCGTGTGTATGAAACACCATCTGCAAGAAAGCTCCTATCAGCATAAAGGGTAAATGGTGGCATGCTATGCAGGGAGATCCTACAGACCACTGCCTCACACAACACAGGAATCTCACAAGTACATATAAAATTGAGAGACGGACACCTGACCTACGAGAGCACATGCTATATGATTCCACTCATATAAAAGCAGGGACTTGAGTTCCACATAAGCCAGGATACGGCTCCTATGAGCAGCGAGGGGAGGGGGGTTGGGAGGAGATGTGAGGGGGCTCCCGAGGTTCTGCCATGATCTCTTTCTCAATCTGGATAGTGGTTACACAGGTGTATTTTTGCCTCTAGGGACATTTGAAGATGACGGTCCCGAGCATCTCAGAAATGGAAGAGGCCTCAGATACGACCTGGTTTCTGCCTGGGTCACTCAGACAAAGTGTGCCAGGGTCTCGGGGTCCCCAGCCCAGGAGGATGTGAGGTTCTCACGCATGCCCAGATCCTGGGGTTTCTCAGCCGGTCCCGCCTGGAGGCCACGTACCTGGCAGAGCGCGGCCGCGGCCTCCGTAGCTCTGACGTTCTCGTCCTCCTCCAGGCCACTCCACTCCAGCCTCTGCCTCTCCAGGACCTCGTGAAAAGCCTGGGAGCAAAACAGGACGCTGAATCTGGTAGAAAAATACTGACTTATTCTTTCCCCAGAAACACCTCCTCCACTGACTCTGCCTCTCACACCGGAGGGACATTCACCCTTGATTTGTACACAAGGAAAATGGGGTGCGGGGGGTGCCACATGACCTCCACTTGCAAATTGCAGCCAAGGCCAGGACCAGTGAACCTGACCTCCAGGAAAGCCAGACTATTCCGTTGTCCACCCGTCATGAAGAGGTGCCACTGGCCCCCTGTCACCCGTCTTTCTTGACCACAAGCCACCCAGACCTCATTCTCTGACTTCAGCTGTGGGGGACCACCACCCAGGCCATGGGAGGCCCGCCCAGTGGAGCCCGAGCCTGGCAGGGGCCACTAAGGGTCAGTGTGGTCAGTGGCCACCAGGCCTCTGTGATCACATGGCGAGGCCCTACCCTGAGGAGCCCAGCAGAGTGACAGGGAGGCATGCACCTGAGCCCCAGACACAGTCAGAGAGGCCGAGAGCACAACCCCCTGGGGCGGACTTCCCTTAGGGGCAGCATCCCCGTCGCTGGGGAAGCGTGTAAGCCAAGTTCTGAAGGACAAGGAGGGGTCCCTGGAGGGCAGAAGGGCCAACACACTCTCCTTCCAGGCTCATGGAGCAACAGCAGCGGGACCAGGCAGTTAGAACCCTCTGGCCTCGGTGGGGGCCGGGCGGGAGGTAAGCGAGGGGGTGGGGTGCAGGGACCAGAGAGGGAGGGGCTGGTGCAGGGCCAAAGTCCGTGTTTATTCACTCGTTCTGTTTTTTCTTTCTTTAACACAGAACCTTCATGAATTTGCGTGTCCTCCCCGCGCAGGGGCCACGCTAACCTCTGCATCGTTCCCGTTTTAGTACACCTGCAGCCGAGGCGAGCACCACCCGCTCGTTCTTTGTTCATTCGGCCGTTTATTTGTTGTTCGTTCGTTCTTCATTTAATCATTCAATTATTCATCCTTTTGTGTCCACCATCCATCCATCCATCTGTTCATTCATTCTTTTGGCTCTCATGCAGTCATCTGCTGCTCATTCATTCATTCATTCACGCATGCTTGGCTCAACCCTTCCTTCCTTGGTCCCATGTCTCCTGAGCACCAGTGTGTGCCGGGCTGTGCTGAGGTCCTGGGTCACAGAGCTGACGCTGTCACGTTCTCCACACTCAGGATTTGCGCTGAGCAATGTGACATCAGGGAGAAGGGCCTGGAAATCTCACGGAGAGCTGTATAATCATATCTTTCCACTCTTATTTCAGATGTATCTTCCCTAGACAGAAACAGCCCCCACCCCACTTTATGACAAACCCCAGAACCCCCAGGCGAGGGCCGTGCAGGGAGGCTCTGCGGGTGGGGTGGGGGAAGGGCACTGGACCAGGGACCCAGGGATGTAAATGCCTCTCCTCTTCTTGGGGGACCCCCTGCTGGCTCGTCACTGGGGTGTTGCTGCCGTCACCACCACGCCTGCCCCCAGGGAGCACCTGTGCCTGTGCTCTGGGCTGAGCCTGGACCCAGATTCTGTCCTGCCATCCCCTCGGCAGAGCTGAGACAACGTGTTCCAAAGGCTAACTCAGAGCAGAGGGACCCAGAGAAACAGTCGGGTTGTGGCTGCCCCTTACTGGGTTTGGCCGAGTCCTGATAACCCTGTATCACCCAGATGAGAAAGCTAGAGGGTTAGCCATGTGCCCAGAGTCACTCACAGCGGCAGACTCACGTCCAAGCCCAGGTCCTGCCGCCCCTCCCCCCGCCTCCCCGCCTCCCCGCAGGCCAGGCAGGGGCAGGGTTCTGTCCTCTCGCCCTGACAACTGCAAGGCCCGGCCTTCCAGCCTGTGCTGGCGCCAGCGCATTCTCTCCCCTCCAGCAGGCTGACATCTTGCTTCCTGTCCTCCTGCGGGTCTCCAGACCGGGACGGCTATCCAGCTGGTCCTCTCTGGTCCTGCCCACTCGGCTCCACAAGCCGGCTCCTCCCCTGACTCGGCACCTGTCCCAGCGAGGGGCCCCACCCCCTTGTGAGAGCCTGCCTCACACCTGGGACATGCCAGTCCCTTCGGGTCCACATTCCCTACTGGCTCCCATGGTAGGTAGGGACCCTGTGGCGCGCCTCACTGGCCCCTCCCGCTCATCTCTCCAGCAGCCCGGTGAGGACGTGCTGCTTTTGTCAGCAGCAGGACGGGACGCAGAGCTCAAGGCACTTGTCTAAGGTCACTGGGCTGACAGATGGGAGGTGAGGAGATACCTCCTGTTTGCTGGATGCTGAAGCCTCTGGCTTCTCAAGCGCAGTAAGGGGGACCAGACCACCCTGCTCTGCCCGCACGGCTCTCCCAGGACGGCCGCGCCTGAGGACGTGGGGGTGATCGGGAGCAGGGTCACCTGCAGGAACTCCTCAGGGTCGGCGGTCCGCGGAGACTCGGCCAGGAAGCACCTCCGTTCCTCCTCTTGAGCCAGCATGAGCTTTTCTGTCCTCTCCGCCTGGTGAACCAGGGAGGCCTTGACCAGGTCTTTGCCTCGCTGGACAAAGTCTGAAACCGACATAGAACAGGGGACATCGCCAGTTGCTCTCCTGGCAAAGCGTCCACTGGCTGCTTCTGCCAGCGTGAGGAGTGTCAGATACTCAGGGGCAAGTCCCATTTTTATTTTCCTCTGATCACTCAGGCACATGGGCTTCCCAAAGTCTGGTATTAGGAGCCCCTGGCCCCTCAAAGCCATGGGTCCCCGTCATTTGAAGGGAACCCCACTTTCCCTTGGGCCGAGGGCCCAGAGGTTTTGTCGAGCTGTGGTACAGGGCCGGGCCAACCTGCCCAGGAGATAAACGGGTGTTTTCCTGGGGAAAAGAGTGTGGGGGACGAGTAAGTGGCATGGGTGGGACAGAGGACAGAGAGCCCGGGTCTGCAGGAAGATGGTGACATTTCAGACTGAGATTTGAAAACTTCGAGGGTGAATTGTTAGATCAGCAGAAGAGGAGGAGGGTGAACCCAAGAGCAAGACCCCCTGGTGTGGGGGAGGGTAAACTCAGTTGGCTCTAAAACATCCCCTTACACACCAAGGTCACAGCACTGGGGGCTGGAGTCTACCCGTGAGCAAGATCCAGCCCAGATCTCAAGATGCTCCTGGTCCAGGGAAGATGAGAAACGTGGACGGAGAATGAATTATGTGCTGGATGATGGTTGGGGCGGGGGGAGGTGCAGGATGAGGAGCCGGCAGCATGGGACCCCAGAGACGGCTCCTGGAAGTAGAGCTGATGAAGAAGTTGGCCTGATTCTGCTCCCTTGGGTTCTGGGGAAGATGCTGTGTGAAGAGGCTGGAGAAGCAAGTGAGGGCCAGGTCACAAGGGGCTTCTGCTCTTGGAGACGTTGGTTTCAGCATCTCCCCGCCCACCTCTTACACCCACACATGTCAGAGTGCCTTCTGCATGTGCCATAATGCAAGCACACTTCCTTGGGCTTGATCTGAGGGTCTGTTTAGCCTCCAGCACCAATGGGAAGAGTGTGTTCAGGTGCCCAGGAGAGACCAGTCTTCCCTCTGCTGCTGACTGCTCCTTGCCTCCCCCGTCTTGTCCAAGATTAACAGACTCTGACCAATGGGCACCATTTCAGCATCCCAGCCCAGCCACTCCCTGCTGCTGGGGCCTCTTCCCACTAGTCAAGTCCCGGCCACTGTGTGTGATGACCCCCGAGCCCAGATGCAGTCAGATTCTACACGGTCCAGAATTCCAGTCAACAGCAGACTTCCATAGGGTCACAGAAGCCATAGCGACAAGTGACACAGACATCTGTGGAATGGCCTGGCTGGAGTCCTGAGGTCCCAGGATTAAACGACTGTCCCCTGGCCCCATCTCCAAAGGGCAGCGGACAGGCATGGCAGAGGGGACGTGAGCAAGCATAGAGGACCAGGTCTTTGGCTGCAATGGAAACCTGGTGCCAGGGACCGGACTGTGTCCCTCCAAATTGATGTGCTGAAGTCTGAAACCTCGTGTGACTGCCTTTGGAGATGGGGCCTAGAAGGTTAAATGAGGTCAGAAGGATGCAGCCCTCATCCCACAGGGCTGGTGCTTTATCAGAAGAGGAACAATGCAAGAAAGCTTGCTCTCTGCCATGGAAAGACACCACGAGAAAGCGGCCCTCATCAGGAATCAAACCGGCTGCACACTGATCTTAAACCTCCAGCCTCCAGATCTGTGAGAAAGAAATGCCTGGTGTGTGAGCTCCCCAGTCCGTGGTATCTTGTTAGGAGGCCCAGACGCTACTTCCACTCAGCCCTGGCCACACGTGCAGCCTTGGGTCAACACTGATGGGCTCTCCTGCCAAGGGTGTGAGGAAGCTGGTGCGGAGGCGGCACCCACCCTGCAGGCGACAGACCTGGGTTTCTCAAGGGTCCCACCAATGGTGTGACCTGGACCAAGTCTCAGATGCCCTTGACGTCTTGAGCCCTGACCCACCCATCTCCCGGGGTCAGCCCCGGGGGGCAGTACCCTGTGTGGGAAACAGCCACGCCGGGTTCCGTCCCGTCCCGCGGGCCCGACCCCTGCCCACCGTCGTCGCCCGCCCGCAGCTGAGCAGGACCTCATGACCTCGTGCCCGGCTTCTGGGCGTTTCCACCCCTTTGCCCTCTGCACGTTCCAGGTGGTTCTCGGTCAGCCTGAATCACCGGTGACTGCGTGGAGCAGGCAGCCCAGCTCCGAGGCGGCGGCCCTGCTTACCTCTGCTTTATGGGAAGGCAAGCGAGGCTCAGAGGAGTTAAGTGACAAGTCCCCTGAGGCAGACCTGGTGCGGGTCCAATAGGGGCCGCTCCACGTCTCCTGACACCTGCAAGTGTGGCCACCCGCCCTGGCCCCGACGCCCCGCAGCACGGGGGCCCAGAAGGACGGCGCCCCGGCCCGCTCGCTCACCTCGGCGGAAGCGCTCGGCCTCCTCCCAGAAGGCCTTGTGCTGCTGGGTCAGCAGCTCCTCCTTCTGTCGCCCCGAGAGCTTGCCCTCGACGGCCAGCAGCTCCAGGCCGCGGGAGATGGCGGCCAGCCGGCACTTGGTCTCTTCCTGGATTTGCAGCTTCAGGAACTCAATGGTTTTGGCCATGTGCGCCCGCCCCATTGTTCTCTCCAGGGTGTCCTAAGAAAAGAAACCCACAGGACAATTGGCTGGGACACCGTGGGTCAGCACTTGGCCGTGAGGGTCTGTAAACAGCAGTGGACTCCGTCCCGGGGCCCCCACCTGCCAGTGAGCAGAGCTCAGATGAAGCTGCTCTCCTGAGCCTCCTGTGCCTGCTCCTCGGATGGGGACAAAATCGCCCCTCAGGCACGGGGCGAGGCTGACGCTGGATAACACACGGAAAGCGCTTGCTACACAGTGAGTGTCTACAGAGGGCTCTCTCTTCCGGGAAGGAACCTGATAAATGCACATGATCAGAGAGGAAGGTCCACCTTTCCCATAGTCATCCCTCCCCACTCACTGGGGCCTCTGGCCTCCATAGCCCTGGAAAAGCAACACCAGGAGAAATAAAGGTCACAGGACTTTCTGGCTTTTGAGCCTCAGAGAACCTGTGTCCTGGGGATGTAAGAGATTTTCCAGGTCGGATTTGTAACAGAGGACAACAAACCTGACTCCACATTAGCTCTGCTCCTCTGGCTCTAACCCTGCGCTCTGTTGCCTGCGCTCAGTCACGCTGCTTCCGCACCTTTTGTAAAAGAATGTTCCTGCAGCCGGAAGTGCACAGGAGAGCCCCTTCTCAAGGCTCTGACTGTTAAGGGTAGAACCCTTTTCCATTCATACAGAGATAAAAAGTTGCAGAACAAAGAACATTTGTCTTGTTGGAGGTTTACATCGCGACCTGACCCAGGTGGACAGCTGCAGGAACAAAGGATTCGGACACCAAGACGTTTACAACAATCAACCACACCCCTCCCCTTTTTAGGGTAAAAGGAGCCTGAGTTCTGACCTGGGGAAGATGGTTCTCCAGGACATTAGTCTCCCATCTTCCTGGTCTGCTGGCTTTCCAAATAAAGTCATTTTTCTTTGTCCCAACACCTCATGTCCCGATTTACTGGCCTGTTGTGCGGCAAGCAGCACGAGCTGGACTCCGTAACAGGCTGGCGTGGAGGGCCATCCCAGCCATCAGACTTCGGAACAGGCCTGCCTGCCCTACCACGTGCTCACTCACTTGGGACAGAACTCTCGGATGAGATGCCTCCCCGTGCAGGAAATGTCAACCAGAGACAGAGGCAGACCCTGTAGGTGTCCATCCCTTGTCCTTATGTCTCAGAGAGCAGCTGCTCAAGGATCACGTTAAAGCCACAGGTCCTGCATCTCAGAGGAAGGACATCTCTCCCCCTGGGGATGGCCCCACTGGCCCCAGGCATAGTATGGTGGAGGCTGGAGTCAGCCTTAGCCCCTCTCCTCCACCACGCCTGCTCCTGCCCCCTGCACATCCCTCCTCTCTGTTTCCTCCTTGCTGGCCCAGAGCCATTCCCAGCTCAGGCCAGATCACTTCTGCCCTGGGCTACTGCCTCCCACCAGTCTCCCTATGCTCCGGCCCCACCTGGCAGACAGGGGGCTTTTCTGCAGTGCAGTCTTGGCTCTGTCATCCCCTGGTCCAAACCCCGCAGTCACTGCCTCCAAACCGAGTCTCCGCTCCTGGGCGCAGTGCATGAGGGTTCTTTGGTGGCTCAGTCTCCAGCCTCATCCCACATTCCTCCTTGCTCCTGGCTGCCCAGCACGCCTGACTCTCAGCTCCACTGGGCCTTTGCACACATGAGGCCTCGCACCTGGAACCCCCTCCCAGCCTCCTCTCACTCCCCTGCCTGGCCAGGTCCTACTCATCCTTACAGGCTGTGCGGCGTCTTCCCAGACCTTCCCCAGCCCTACGGTCCCCTCCTCCAGGCTCCACGGCTCCTGTGCCTCTGTCTTTAAGGAGCTAATCATGAGGGACAGTCCCAGGCTGGACTGAGAGCCCTTGAAGGCAGGGGCCGCACCTGAGCCGTCCACTAACCCGCCCTGGGCCTCACTGTTTGCTGAGCCACAGTGTACTAACAATGTGTGAACAGAGCAAGGACAATGCTTCCCCAGTTACAGATAAGAACGCTGAGGTTTATTCTGGAAGGCCACCTAACTAGCCCAGGGACAGTGGCTCTGAACCTTCCTCTCTTCCAAGTTAGCCCGGCAGCCGGCAGCGGTCCTGCGACCAGTAGGGGGCGCAAGAGGATAAGCGCTCAGAGCGGGTGGGGGCGGCCAGGGGCCTGGGCTCCAGGCAAGGGGGTGAGGGGCGGCGCCTGGCAATCAGAGCAGCCACCGCCCTGGGCAGCACTGTGAGGCCTCCAGGCTGCGTAGTGACAGTGCACCCTCTGGATTTATATTCAGGGAAGAGGAGTGGAGAGAGGTGAGCAGGGGTGGAGGGACTTGGATGGGAGGTGATGGGGCCATTGTTGGCTCTGAGTGTAGCCAGTCCTCAAGCGTGCCCGGGCTCAAACTTGGCTCCAGACCTGCACAACCTTGGGCACCGTGTCCTCACCTACACCCAACTTGCAGAATGGACGCGAGCATTAAATAAGTTAAAATATGCGAAACACTTAAAATAGCAGCCAGAAGATGGTAAGCGCTCTTGAATGCAAGCTGTTGTCATAATTATCCGCAGCAGGTCCCCACACCTCTCCTGCCATCTGCTTTCTCTTGAACATCCCTAGAGACGGACTCTGATGACGTCTGGGGCCCTTTCCAGGGCTCCTGCAGTTCTGATACTCAGCAATACCACATGATGCAGTCCAGGTCCAGCTGCTGAGAATTTAAATTCTTCTGGGGTTCATCAACAACATATTCCGACATAAAGAAGCTACTTTTTTTCTTCAGTTTATGGGATGCAGGCAGAGCTAACTCCTCTCTCGACTGTGTAAATATAGGCTGTTGCCCTTTCCACACAGCATTACGATGACTTGTTAATGTCTATTTTGCTGCTGACACGTGGCCTGCCAGAGTCTAATCACTAACATGCTGAGCGTCCCCTGTGCCGGGATCTGTCCTAAAGGCTGTACACGTTGTCTACTTTCTAACATTCTCAGAGCTGATGCTATTCTGATTCCCATCTTACAGACGATGCAACTGAGTTACAGAGAGGTTACGTAACCTGCCCAAGGCCACACAGCTAATAAGAGGTAAGACTATAGCATGAGCTCAGGTTTCTAGCTGGAGCCTGCAACATTGTTTCGCTAACAGAATGTGGCACAGAGTAGGTGCTCATTAAATGCTGACTGAAGGAAGGGCATACGGAAACCTGGATCATCCTTTCCCTTCTTCCTCTTTGGAAGTGACTGACTAATACTCTGGCCAGCGTCAGCTCAGGTTACATTTTTTTCCTGCATCAATATCTTGCTGATGGAGCAATAATAAATACCTAGGAAAAAAGAATAAAAGGCAAAAAGTCTTTCTCCTTTGATGAGCATTAATATCTGCAGTCATATCAAATTAAAATCCAATTTAAAGGGGCTTGGACGGCAAACCAGGAGGCGTGGGGGGCAGGCTGAGTGATGTCATTAGACAGCACAGGGGTCCTAGGTGAGTCACTTAGCTGGCTCCTCTGCTCACGGGGAGGGAGATACCGGCAGTGCCTGTCTTTCAGCAGTCCCGAGTGGGGTACACGATTCTGCATTTCGAACCAGCTCTCGGGTGATGCTGATGCCACGAGACTGCAGACCACACTTGGAGGACCAGAGCAGTCTGTGCAGAAGCAGCAGGGGTCCGCTCGGCTCAGCAGGGCCTTCTCCTCGCATCTGAGATGCTGAGGCTCTGAGGTAAGGCCCCTGCAAGTTTGTGAGACAGGTGTAACTTGGGTGGATGCACGGGTCTGAAATATAATCCATGAGTCCTCGAGGTCAGAAGAGGAAATGGGTGCATGGTGCCCTGGGCTTTGCACAGCAGGGCGAGACCACGGCTGATCCCCACGGTGACTAGGGTGTGGCAGGTCACCAAGCACTTCCCCAGCACTGCCTGCGGCAACTCCTGAAATCAATTTTTATAAATAGAGTAACCGAAGTTCAGAGGGGTGAAGTAACCTGTTTGAGATCACACAGCTTCAAGTGGCTCAGCCGAGTTTCAAAGTTGGATTTGTATTTGTGGATTCCTGTGAGCCAGGGCCTTGTACGCCCAGCTATACATCAGAATTGTTTGGGGAATTTTGAAAACAGCAGCGCCAGGGCCTCCACTACAGACCAGGCAGACCGGGTCCCTGTGCGGGAGGCCCCAGGCACAGCACAGGCACAGTTTCAGGCTCCCAGGTGACTCACGGGGCAGTCAGGAGACAACCGAAGTTCCATGGCTGTCAACCATGACTGCTCAGTGTGGTCACCTGGAACCTTAAAAAGCCCAGACTTGATTAAGTCAGACTCTCTAGGGTGGGGGCTCCTCTTGGACCCAAGCATCAGTACTTCTTCAGCCTCTTCAGGTAACTTCAATGTGCAGCCAGGATTGGAAACCAAGGCTCTAGGCCATAATAATATGGAGCTGGCCAGCATCTCCATTAACGGGAGGGAGGGAGGGATGGATGGATGGACGGACAGCTGCACAGACGGATGGATTCACTGCTTTTCTCTGGCTTCTATATCCTCATCTACAACATGCAGGTGTTCAACCTAATGGTCCCTACAGCATGTCAAGCTTCCAGAATCCACATCCCTACTTTGAATATCACGTTCCCTCCCCGCCCCCTCCAGCGTTACCAGAGCCTGCAAATCCTGGGAGTCACGCAAGAGCCCTTCGGCTGCAATCATTCTTTCTGTCAGAGTCGTCAGGAGCTGTCGGGCTTTGGTGCTGGAACACTTCAATTGGTCCACAAGAAAGTGCTGGATGTTTTCCATCTGTTTCCAGAAAGCTTCCATCTGTGAAATGAGAAACAAGAGGTGGGGTGGGGGTGGGGGAAACTTACTTAAGAAAGCTACAAAGCTACGCGGTTCAGCTTGGGAACTACTATTCACGCCTTATCACACACCGAGATTCTAAACAACTCTCCGCCTCGAGCCCGTTTATCTCAGCAATAAACACGTTCTCCTGAGGTTCCTCCCAGTCCCACTGTGGATGCCTGTCGGTTTGAGGTGGCTTTTCAGCCAGCACCAGTGCGCTGCTGATAAGGAAGGAAAAGCACAATGAGATCATTCAGCTTACACAGCTTAAAGTCTCTTAAACAGGCCATTACTGCTGCCTGGAGGGGTGCAGGAAACTCAACAGTGTGCTCCTGGAAGCTTCCAGATCTTTAAAAAAGATTAAATGCATCCTGGCAATACAAGCAGGAATGGCCATTTAAGTATTAGTTATTGTCCTAAAAGTACAAAAGGGCAACATGACAGAGATGAGGATGACCATGAAAACATTTTGCTTTAAAATCTTTTCCCTTTCTGCCCCATCTTCTCAGGAGCAGAGTAGGGAATCACCAAGTGGTTGAGCAGGTTGGGGCTGTATTTTTGTCACTGCAGCCTCTCAGAGCTCCGGAGAATAATGGTGCCGAAGTCATAATAACTTTCCTTTATGTGTGCAGTTTATATGCCAAGCTCTGTGCTCCACACGTTTTATTTGTAGATAAAATATCTATCAGAGGTGTCTCTGTTATCGGAGGTCACCAATACTTTAGAGAATCTTATGAGAACAATGAATCCTGTGCCTGAAAGATGCAGACACGGACAAGATGCACCACTGCTTTAGGGAGTCCCTGGACCACTGGACTCCCGGGTGAGCATCCGCCGTTAGTCATCTCATCCTAAGAATATCCTCGCTCTCCGCTGACCTACCTGAGCTCAGTGGAGACTCTTCATCTCCAGGCATCTCTAACTCAAGCCAGAACACATCATCTCCCCTCCCAACTTGTTCTCATTCTGGGGTCCTTATTTCTGTAGAACTGATCCTCTATACCCTCTTCTTTTTTTTCCATTTTTAAAAATTGAAGTATAGTCAGTTTACAATGTTGTGTCAATTCCTGATGTACAGAGTAATGTTTCATTCATACATACACACATTTCCTTTCATATTCTTTTCATTACAGGTGACTACAAGATATTGAATATAGTTCCCTGTGCTATACAGTAGAAACGTATTGTTTATCTATTTTACATACAGTGGTGTGTGTCTGCAGATCTGAAACTCCCAATTTACCCTTTCCCACTCCCTTTCCCCCCATAAATTTGTTTTCTATGTCTGTGAATCTGTTTCTGTTTTGTAAATAAGTTTATTTGTGTCTTTTCTTTGAGTCCATATATGAGTGACATCATATGGAATTTTTCTTTCTATTTTTGGTTGGTTTACTTCACTTAGAATGACAATCTCCAGGTCCATCTGTGTTGTTGCCAATGGCATTATTTGATTCTTTTCTATGCCTGAATGGTATTTCATTTTATATATATATATATATATATATATATATATATATATATATATATATACACACACACACTACTACTACTACTACTTACTTACTCTACTCTTCGTTACGTTCTAGTACGTACGTTAGTTTACGTTCGTTCCTACGTCGTTCGTTCGT